CTTCACCCCTGCTGCCATGCTGACTTCAGTTAGAGTCCTGCTGAGCAGTCTTTTCACCTCAGTCTGTTCCCTGTGAGCAACTGTGTCAGGAACACAGATTCTGGGGCACAGCCTTAAGCATCCCTGGACTATTCAAAAATCTTCATCTACAAAACCACTGCTTATTAGAGAAGACGTGCTCAGGAATGTAACAGCATCATTTGCTCTCCTTTGCATTTCAACAATGGAGTTAAGAAAAAAAACAACAAAAAACCAGAAACTTCTAAATTCCCTATTGGAAATACCTACAGGGGATTGCTGCATCTAAAGGGCAGTTTACTTTTATTTAATGCATGTTAGTGTGTTCAAAGATAATCATGTACTGGGAGTTAAAATAGAGTTATAAGCAATGCAACTTAAAAGTATTCTCTTCAATCAAACGGACCTCAATACATTGGAAAACAACTGAGATCTGTTAACTTTTTCTAAGTAATCTTTTAGCTTCTTAATTGAGTAAAATGTTGGTTGCTATTTTAAATTATTAATGAAGTATCTAAAATGAGTTGAATGATAAATATTACCTTGAACAAATATATTCCTGTACGAGCCATCACAAAGCCTGTTTTAAGACATAGAGTGCCATGAGTTCTTATATGACAGGGTCTGGGGAAGGCTTGGCAGGAGTCCCTAATTCTGGGTTCTCGTGCTGTTCATCATGGATTAGAACAGGCAGCTGGTAAGCGAAGCCCTGGGATCTTGAGGAGCAGCCAGAGGTGGCTGGACTTCCCATGAACACAGTGGTGAGGGCTGAGCACATACCATTGAGAGAACAGGTGTGCCTTGCCTGAATGGTGGGGTAATGGGTAAATGATGGGTGATGGATAATCAAGGGGATAGTGACACTGGGATTTCCACTTGGTCAGGACTGGATTGGAAAGTACCTCTAGTTACTCATCATTTAGACTTATAGATCTTTTCCATTCTGTAAACACAGTAGGTTCTCTCTGGGGGAAAAAGCTGTATCATAGATGCCTGGCACTCTTGGATAGCATTTGTAGTTTTAACTATTCACTGAAGGTCCAGGACATGCAAAAATGGTTTCATGGTGCTCACCCTGGGCCAGGAACCACTCTACGTGCTTAGAGGGACTCAACTGATGTCTACAGCACCCGCTGAGGGAGGCACTATTAGTGTTGTATTTTACAGAAGACGAGCTGAGGCACGGAAAGGGTGCAGTTGGCAAGCGGCAGAGCTACAGGTTAAACCCAGTGAGACTGGACCCAGAGTCCATGCTCTAAGCCATGACCATAGATCGCTTCTCCATTACTGTTATAATACATAATATACTATTATGATGTAATAAAATTGAAGTATCACATTATTTATTGGACAACTGTGTGTCAGATCCTTCACCAAGTGCTCACTGATCCTAGTGACAATCCCACACTCGAGACAGTATCTTCATTGCCAATCTTCAGATGAGGGATCTGAGGCCCGGAGATTCAAGAACATACCCTCATCACAGCTAACAAGCAGGGCAGCCAGGACTCCCAGCCAGGACTGTTGGTTTCCAAAGTCTATGCTTTAAAGCATAACTTGTCATTTTGTTGCATCATGGATTAGAAGGTGCAATGCAGAAGCAGGAGCCCTGGTGGCATAGTGGTTAAGAGCTTGGCTGCTAACCAAAAGGCTGGGGGTTCAAATCTACCAACCACTCCCTGGAAACCCTATGGGGCAGTTCTACTCTGTCCTGTAGGATCGCTATGAGTCAGAACCAACCTGATGGCACCTAACAACGACAACAACATGCAGAG